CCTCTCTCAGCTTTGGTGAGGCTGTGACGCAGCTTGGTAACCTCTGTTCCTTCAAACTGTGTCAGATGGGGGGAGTGTTAACCTCCAGTCCAGACCTGATTCACCCTCACTGAAATCAGAGACAAATCAGGCCTTTGAGCGAGTCCCCAGCAGCCTGGTTTGCACCTTCCTGGGATTTTTCTTGCCAGTCCATCAAGGTGGAGACACAGCAACCAAAGTAATGGGAGCAGCCATGGTTATGGGGGTCCATGGTTACTTTTGCACAATGGGGACAGCCCCTAGGCTCTGGGGTTTTTTCTTCATTTTATGCTTTTATCGTTGAAGACTGTTTGGGGGTTCATTTGCCTTTCAGAGGAATGTGTAGTTAGAAGATGCTTAAAAACGTCACAGGGCTATGAGATTACTTGTTTCTATGTTCATAATCCTCAGGTTTTGAATAGGAAAGGTCACCAGGGAGTTCAGTGGTTCTTAGCACGTGCAAGAGCAAGCAGCAGGAGAATAGATCACCCAGCCCTGGGAAGAGCCAGGTTGTTTCCTGCCAGGCTATATAGATAACCTAGTTTTATTAGTATTTTTGTAATAGATCTCCATCAACGACTTCCCAGAAAATAAAAACTGTTACAAAGAAGTACCCAACACAACATTTTGGGACTCATAGCAGGTTTAGTCCGGCTGATAACCATCATTTTGATGTGGAGTGTTACAGGAACAACATAAACTAACACCATTTCGGTTGCTAGATTGCTTACCGTTAGTAAAATGCTCATTCATTCTACAGAAATGAGTCACACAGGACTGAGAAGAGATTTCTTGAGCTCTCATCTTGCACAGTGTGAGAGTCTCAGCTCTGTTTAGTCATCATTTTGTGCAGTGTCTTGTATTAAATGACTCACTTTTTCCAGAGTATGTGAATTTTGGTTGTTTCCGAATGTTAGAATAACAATTCCTTTGGTGCCCAAGAGACATTAGAAACAAGTGGGTGGTGTCATTCAAAGCTTAACCTCACAGCCCAGCTGAAAGACATGTCCTGGTGCTGGACGACAGTAAGATAAACTCATTCTGTAAATGTGTCCTGTCCCAAAGGTCTTGAGGTAAGATTGAGAAGGCAAATAGAAAAGGCACAGTACAGCAGGGCACAGGAGAGCTGTCTGCAGGGTATTTTCTGTCAAGGTTTTTCATTGGAAACCGGTAGTGTAACAAAATCTTCTATTTTGTCATGAAGATGTAGGAACGCTGCCCAGTTTCCAGTGGAGCTCATAAACCTGACATGCAGGAGAGCTCCCCGGTGGTGTGAGACTATGATGGCCATGCTCCCAGTCACCAAGCAAAAGTCACAGTTTCCAGCTCTAATAAACCCCTTCTAGTAACCCCATTTTGTTCCCATCTTTGTCAAACCAGGGCTGCAAAGTGTCAATCATTCCCTTGCCATTGCATGTGGGGGAGCAGGGTTGGTAGGACAGCTTTCAAGCACTGCAGGCGGCTTGCTGGCATCTCGGTACGGTTGATGGGCTCTCCACCTTCAGAAGTCGGTGTCACCTTGTGCTCCGTTCCCCCACTTTTCTGCACCACAGCCCCGTTGGTTTGATTCAAATACTGCCATGACTGATGCTGAAGTGGCTGTGCAGTTTTATCAGGCACAGAGAAGGCACCCAGGAGACAAATCCCCTGCAATAACTGATTCATTAATCATTACCAATATATCTAGAGAGAAAAAGAATGACTCAAACCTTCAAAAACAAAACAACAAATTACACTGATCAGGAAAGGGCTTCCTATTGCTGTTACACTGTAATCACCTGTCTGCCTGCCTGGGGAAAGCTGGAGCACTTGATGAGGATCCACATCCCCCAAACCAGATGGGGGAATGACCTATGAGCAAGGACACTAAGCAACAACCTGAGAAATGACCCCACCTTCCTTCTTCCCCACTCAGCATCTCTCTCTGCTTGCTGCCCAGGCAGCATTTTTGGTCTCTTATGTCCCATATGACCCACTGGGAGCCAGGAGAGCTTCCAAAGTGCTACACAGGGACCCGTTTGCACAGGGACCAGTTTAAAAGGTACATCAGATAATTACCCATACAGTACTTCACTAAAAGAGTTGCTAAAAGCTCTGTGTCCCCATGTCACCATAGGCAAGAGAGCAGAGGAAGGTATGATCCATGGTATGACCCACTCATAAACACACAGCTTGGTCCTGCTCCGCCGCAGTATGCAGCATCCTCATCTCCAGATACAAGTAAATACCTGCTGTATTTTGCTGTAGGCTCCATTCTTCTTATGTGCCTGCTGTTTAAGCCAAGTCATGCTCAGTGTTTTCTTTCAGTAATTTCTTAAATAAAAGGATAGTCCTGAGGGCAGAGGCACTTGTCAGGATAATCAGGCAGAAAAATTCATGAGCCAAGGGGTGAACTCAAAGATTAAAACCCCTGTATGCCTTGTGTACCCACCACAGTTCTGGTCCATTCATGAGCACTGAGCCATCTGCATGGGCTTCCGTAGGAGCCGGCAGTGAGCAGATCCTCAGAAAAATTACACATTTGCAATAAGTAATGCACACACTTTAAAAAAAAATGAAGTTTTATTAATTAGAGAACTTCAAGCAGCATTTCCTCTCTCCTGAAAGTGGCACTTCAGGCTTCCAGAGTAAGAACAGTGTACCACAGTGCATCAAGCTACTAGACATCCTTCGTTCAGAAGGAATCGTCCTTGTTTAGGCAACATGCATCAAAGGTTTTTTAAGCGATTTGATTACATTTCTGGTCTGCTTTTATGAGATAACCAGCCCTTATCAGTGTTGCCTTTCAGTCTGATAAGAAGCACTGCCAAGCACCCTTCACTTGCTTCTGGCCCTGCACTGTCCGCAGCATCTCCAACACTGAGATATTGATCATAAATAACTGCACCTGGGCGGAAAACTCCTGTGAATTTGGACAATAACAATATTCATATTTTTGAAGTGTATTGCTGCAGCCAAAGAGGTCAGAATATTTTTTGAGATTTTAGCAGTTGCAGGTGAGAGCTCAGTATTTTCATCTCGTAGAGCCAGCCAAGTACATCCTCATTAGTATTGATTGATTTTTGACAAGCAAAACTTCAGCCTTTTCCCAGGCAGTGTAGTAAGGATCATGAAGGAACACAAAAGAAGGAGGAAAGGAAGCAGGAAGAGTCTCTAAGACAGCTCTGGAGATACTAAACAGGGTACAGTCATGTAAAAAATACTTTCTTTGGAGTCCACATCAGGAAAAAATGCACTTGAGCAATGTCAGAGATCCCACTGTGAGATGCATAATCCTGGGACCGGGATATTTGCCCTTCACTAAAGTGGTGCTCACTTTATCTGACATGTAAAAACCCTGTTTAGTTTCATTTAGACTGGCTGCAATGCAGACAGCCAGGGGGAGAGGGGGTTCTCCCACAGCAGCGTGATGAGTGCATCCGGTTTCACTGCCCCTTCCTTGGGTGTTGCCTTTTGGTCAAGTTCATCTGGTGAAAGAGGAAAACTCTTCTGAGACCATCTGCAGACAGTGTGATTGCGAAATTCAGACGCTGGCGAGCAGAGCAAAGAGCAGGAAATTCCTCTGTGCTTGTTGTTTGCCTTGGGTTTGCGAAGTATGATCATCAATTGACAGCTCTTGTGTTTTGGATCGCTTTGGACTACAGGCCACTTGGGAAAGAGGTTATAGCTCCAGTTTTCAGCTCTAATAGTGCAAGTGCCAAGCAACTGCTACCACTGGGGCATGTCAGGCATTTGCTGGAACCAGTTTGAGAGTGAGGACCTACTGCAGGCTGAAGGAGGGAAGGTTAGAGCTGAATTTCATCATGTTTGGGTTTTGTGCCCCACATCCTTCCTCTTCTCAAAAAGGCAGAGGTTATTGTGATGTTGAAGTTGGCAAGGTGTATCGAAGGCCTGAAAGCATCATGGAGGGAAGGAGGCTTGGCTTACTTTACTTTTTTTTCCACCTTTTATGGTCTTTGGACTGCAGAACACACAACAGAAGTTCAATATCTGTAAATCAGTCTTTTACTGAAACTGGAGGCCATCTCCCGTGCAAAGTACAAGAGTAGTTGTAAATGCCTACATCCACTTGTGTGTTGGGGAGTGCCTGAGGTATCTGGAGTTCTTTACTGATAACCTCACAGTGCTTTGAGGAGACCACCGGAATCACCAGCTGTGTAACAGCTCTGTTATACACCCACAGGAGCCCCAGCAGTCAGATAGACATCCATGGCCCTGGTCTTGTGCACCACTGCCAAGGGAGCTGGAACAGCACCGCTAACCACAGCACATACTTCCCTGTCTCCAAAACCGTGGCCACTGAAATCACTGGTGACCCCTCTGGGTACAGTACATGGAACCCTCAACATAGGGGTTCTCTTAAATTCTCTTCCCCCCTTGTAGGGCTGCAGCAAACAACTGCTTTCTGCTTTTCCACCTCCGGTTTACATCTGAAAGGGGATGTGAGATAACCTATTTACAACTTTGTGGTAGCAACCTCCCAATAACAACTCCAGGCATGTACCAAGGTGTGGCAGTGTCTGTTCTGAGGATTCCTACAGAGGGGCTGATGCCACCTGCAAGACAAATCCAGCTAGGCTAGATCAGCTTGGTACTCATCCTGTCCCTCAATGCTACCTGCTGAGTCTGGTGGGTCACCTGAGTTAGAGATAGTTTAGGACATAGATCATGTCTTCACTACGCAACCATACAGCTCTTGGCTCTGCAGATCCCTGAGTAAGACACTAAGCACCCTTTTTATACAAAAAATGTTTGGGTTGCTTTAGTTTTTAGAACCATTTATGAAATGTCATTTGTTTCACCTCTAAAGTGAATAAACTCTAGATTACAAACAATCAAAGCGAGCCTGTGGTGCTCTAAGGCTCTCAACACAAGCACCCACAGCCCAACTCTGCTGTGTTTCAGTGCCAAGGGGCTCCCCAGCCCCAGGCTCTTCAGAATAGCCATGGCTCAATACCATCATGAAACAGGAAGGTTGCCAAAACATGAGCCCTGGGGCTGGTTATTGAGCAGTTTTCAAACCACCAGTTTGAAGTTGCATTGCAGTGTCTCCTGTTGGGTGTCACAGTGCTGCTTCCCCCAGGCATAGCCACTACTTTGTTTTTAGCGTAGATCTGTTGGACATGCTAAAAAATATTTTGTAGTAGAGGTATACATTGACAATCCTTAAAAGAATCCCCAGGATGTAGCTGAGGGACCTGAGAAGGGCTGCGGCCGTGCTGGAGATGGGAAACAACAAGGTATATGGGCTGTGGGTGAGAGCAGAAGTGCTGCTGGCCTTCAGGAGGTCGTCTGCCTGGAACAGGGTGCACTCTGCAGTCACCAGGATCCAGATGATCCTAGAAGTCAGTCTGGCGTTTTTCACTGTCCGGAAATGCCGAGACTCTGTGGCGAAGAAGGTGATCAAGTAAGCCTCGAAGGCAACGCAGCTCAGCAGCAAGCAGCTGATGTGTGTGTTTGCACTGAGGAGGTTCTGCAGCAGAGCTGATGTGAACACCGGAGATAAGATATTGACACCCAAGGTCCGTACAACCATCTCAGAAGCGATGCTAACAATAACCAGGACGTCTGCCTTTGCTAGGCTTGAGATGAGGACTGCAGTGGACTTGGACGAAACCTTTGCAGACTGCAGGATGATTATGGCGTACAAACTGCCCAGCAGGCCCAGAAATGTGCTGACAGCATTTGAAGAAGACAGGACAAGGTATTGGATGTATTTAAGTACCAGGTATCTTCTGAGGTCTTTCATGTGGTCTCTCTTCATAGAAATGCCCGTAAGGGAGGAGCACCTAGAATACATGTAAAAAAGGGTAATTAAATGTAAAATTAGTGGGGTAGATTCCAGACAAATTATTATGTACCTGCATTTGTACAGACATATGCTGGCATCCGCCGCGCTCCAGCATTACTGTGGTATTGGTTGGTTACGCAGCTTCAGAAGCATTCAGTATGTGAAATCCTCAGACTGCGTCAATTATTAAATAGATTTCATATAAACCCAGGTGATAGCATTTTATTCTAATTAACCCGGGGATCATTGCAGGGAACTGGAATGACTCGGGACTAATAGCAGAAAAAAAATGCTCAGAACGGGGCTACTCTCATTATGCAAGGGTTTTTTTCTGCTTGCCTTTGTGGATCAATTTGGGAATGAAGAATACATTCTCCACTGTTACAGCAAGAAAACTGTTTCTAGTTGTGCTGTGTAGAACAGTAAATGAGGTATTTATTACTCATTCTGGAACACAAAGTGAGAAACTGATGGGAATGCTATCCCAAGTGGTGTCCCAGTTGACTCAGTAGTTGAGAATTGCCATATTTCATTTCCTTTTCCTGTCATTAGCACAACCTTTCATACACATTCATGTGATGTCTGTAGCTTCTAAACAAAACTGACTCCCTGGGCACAGTGTGGAAATAGGCAGTAAAGTGTTGATGCTGGGCTACCGGGGAGAAGGTGGGCTCTGTAATCCCTGCTACAGCTTCATAAGCAAAGAGCTGCTTGCTGCAGAAGCCCAGGGCTTTTTATGTTCTGCTAAAAAGGGATGTGGTCTCTGGTTTGATGTGGTTGGTGGTGGCAAGCCCGTGCACACTGGAGCTCCCAGTGCCTGTGAGCTTTTGGATCTGAGTGCCAGAGTGGGGCTTCCTAGGGCTGTGAGGCTGCTACGTGGCCGGAAACTGGTCCAGGTGGAGCTCAGCCTCAGCTATGGCACCATTTAAAGCGTTTCTCTAATGGTCCTATTTTATATCTACATTTCTTTGGGAGTAAACTAAAAGCCAAAAGTTTTTATTTCAAAAACAATTTCAAGCATTGTTGCTAAAATGTACTGTTTAATTTTCTTTTTCTTCAGTAACATTAACAAAGTCTAAGACCAACTTGCTGTCCCACCGGTGGGATGTCTCTTGGTGTCACTATCATTTTCCTCTTTGGGCTTAACAGAGCTATAGATACAACTCTCGTTTCCACCTGAGAGCTATACTGTGATGTTTCCAGTTTGCTGATTAGTTGAACCTCCTAATGCATCCGTTTGGATATTTATGAACCAATTGTGAGTTCTGACCTGGAATTTGAGGGAGAGTTTAAAGACCTGTGGGAAGTTATCTTCATCTGACCATTGTCTCCTGTACAAGATTGCAAACAGTCCTTTTGCCTTAAATTCAGTGGAAAGAGGTACCTGAATAATCCCCTTCTGCCTGGGGGGTCCTTCACATTCCAATGGGCAGCTTCAATTGAGCTATGTTGCATCACAGTCATTTCATATCAACATGCTGAAGTAATCTAATAAATCAGGGTTGCATCCTAAGGCTCTACTCATTTCCTATACTTGCAAAGTATCCATCAACTTCAACTGTAGCTTTGCATGACATAAAGAATTGGTTGGAGATGACTAACAGCTCAGGATCTGTCCTTTCATTTACGTACTCGTACCTTAAGCAGGAATTAAGTTTGCAAAGTGCCCAGATATTTTTTAGGTATTAATTTAATTTGTGTAATGTTGCATTGAAAGGGTACAATTGTGAATTATCCCTGTGTAGGATAAGGTTATAAGACAGGTAAAAGGCTAACTTGGTTAAATCATGAATTTTCTATGAGGCATTCTTACAGAACAGCAAGCTAAGGAAATGTGGACTAAATGGAACTACAATTAAGTCGTGCATAGTTGGATGGGATACTAGGAAAGGAATAACTATCAGAAATTAGAGGAATGATGTATCAGATGGGAGTTTGCAAAGATCTGACATTTTGTTCCCTTTCATTAACTACAATAAGGAATAGAGATCATGCTTATTAAGTTTGCTTATTAAGTCAACTATCACAGATCAGCAATTACAATTTCAGATCCATACAAGAACTGGTCCCTACGTAGCAGTGAGTGAGAGGAAGAACAAACATGTGAGCAGGAGGAGGAAGCAAGACAGGGGAGGAGGAAGGCTGTCACAGGTAACAATGCTGGCATAAGTGGGTATCAATACAGCGTGTTGATGGTAACACCCATCTGGAGTCAGCAGGAATTGTATCAGGGGAGGCAGATGCCATCTTGCAATGCAATAAACAGGAGGAACGCCTGTAATCACATGGGATGAGTCTTTGGTTTCATTCGGCAGAGGGCAGGTCTTGACTGAAGTATGTGGCCAGTTTAGAGGCCCGCTGTTCAGGAAAGGTATCAGTTGCTGAGAATGTTTCAAGGAGACCGAGGGGATCAGAGATGTGGATAAACGGGGCAATTCATGTTTGCGCACTTATCTCCTTATGCAAGTTCTTGGTATTACTTACGTGAGCACCTTGGAGTTTGTACAGAGCTCCTCCAGTACACTCACCCTGCAGGTCTGGATGGCTCCTTAAGTCCTTACCTGGTTTTTGATTTTGATGGGACAATGGGAAAACGGTAAATCTGAGTGATTCCCATGAAAAGTACCAAGCCAACCTTTTTAAGAGTGGGAACCCACTGCTTGTAGAGACTCGATTTGTACCAGGTTGACTCATCCAAGATTCACACGCACCTTTTCTCTTTTTCTAAGTACCTGAGCCAACTTGTTAGTGGAAGCCTTTGAGGAAGAGGTAGGAAAAATGTAGTTGTGTACATCAGCTGAGCTGTGATACAGTTCCCCTTGCTGTAGTTTTCCACAATGATTAACTAGAAAAATGATTCTGCATTTTCGAGAGAAAGCAAAACCTTTCTGAAATCAAGGTTTTCTGCTCTTTCCATGCACTCAAGGGACTTTGATACTGGTCCTGGTGTAGCCCCTTTAGTGCATACTCACCAAGAAGTGGCTTTGCTTCACTGCTGAAGATGCAAGAAGTGGTGAAGAAGAGGGTTAACCTCTGAACATTGATGTCTGAGTATTGGTTTGACCATTTGTTTCTATACAGAGCATCAATGAAATTAATATTTATTGGAAGGGAACCATTTGAATCCACAATGTGAAAGCCTGTACGACTCACTAGCTAAAAGTGGAAGAGAACCAAGCTGCTGTGTTTACAGTTGAATCTTGTTACCCAAGCGAGCTACTCCTTTGGAAAGGTACATGAAGAATGTTCCGTTGTTATTTGTTTTATTGCAGCCTATTTCTCTGTTTATTGCCATTAAGCATATTTTTGAGGAGAGAAATTATATGCCTTGATAAAGATCTTTGCTCATTTTACAACTGATTACTGCTGTGAATGGTTGTGGATTACACGCTGGCAAGTACATGTAACCTGGCTCAGGCTGCTGTGCGCTGAAAACCCACATGCTGGGCCTCAGGACTGCAGCTAAATTTGAGGCTGAGAGCCCCACATGAGGAGTAGTAAACAAACCTAAGCTGCTTTAAGCAGCTGAATGAGTGAGGAAAATGTGGGGTACATTAACTTTGGGATTTTACATCTCTGGAGAATGTCAAACTAAAACTTCATTGGAAAACAAACTAAATCAAACAGAAATTTGCCATGTGGATACAACCAGATGTCTCCAGAGAACTGGCATCATTCGTACCTTTTCTCCATCCTTTTTCTTTTTTACAGAAGAGGTTTGAAAGGAAGAGAACACCAATAGCTGGATTTACTGCAGAACTGTATCTTGGCCGTTCTCTCAGCTTGTGGGCACTGGGTCCTATCATCTTGCACCCCAGGACTTGTCGATGAGCCCATAAGCTCTTCTAATGATGAGCACTAGAAAAGGAAGCTGAGAAGCTGATACAGCCAGAGGAGATGGCCCAAAGCAGCCCATCTGGGTGCTAAGGAGCTCAGCCTGTTTTTCATGTCTTCCCTTCTTGAAAACATCAGCATTTTACATAACACTGCCAACATTTTGCGTAACACCCCAATGTACTTGGGAAAGGAACTGGAGTTTCTGGATGGAAGATGCCTTCCTACTTTCTGTTAGAGATGTGTCAGTAGTATCCTTCCTTTCAAGCCATAGCTGCCCCAGGAAACAGGAGCATTGCGATGGCTCCCTCCTGCCTCTCTCCACCCCTTTGACACTATAATTTAGTGGTTAAAGCTCTCATCCAGAATGTAGCAGAGCAAGGTTTGATTTCCTCCTTTGCCACAGGGGATTTAGATGTTTATCTCTCCTGGGTGTCCCAACCAGCAGGCTACAGGTTATCCTGAGGTGCGGAGGCTTCTCATGCCACCTAAGGAACCTGGGCACAGTAGGAAAACAGCTGACACCCTGGACCAAGGGGCAGGGATCAGGAAGAAGCTCACAGATCACAGCACAGGTGGTTGCAGATGTTTGATAGGAAAAAGGGCATATCAGTTTCTGATAGTTGCTCCAAATGCTGCTTGGATACATCTGCTCTAGTAAATTCAGCAGAGCTGGAAGACATTCCCAGGTGCTAGAGCTCTGCTCATCAGTCTTGAGAGTGCTCCAATGGTCCCCAGCACAGTTTGGCATCTGGCAGCGCACACCCTCTGAGCACTGGGCAGCCTGGGGCAGGGCTTTGGCAGGAGGCAGGGAGTGCTGGCCATTCTGCAAGGATGGTTTGAGGGTAACCTTCCCTCTGCCTGCACCAGGGTAGGGACTGGCTGCCCACCCTCTGCGCAGCCTGGATCATGCCTGGGATGGGGATGAGTGGGAATGGGAACAGGGGGCTGTTTCCAGAGCAGCTGCTCCCACCCTATCAGAATGGCCAGAATTGGTGAAGAAAGTAATCCAAGCCCATCCATCTGTTTATTTACAGTTTTTAAAGCATCTGCTTGTGGTATTCATTACAGTGACCCGCAGGAGGATCACTGTGCATGGACAGTGACACCTAAACAGTTTATGTTTAGTCCCTGCACAGACAAAACCTCAGGTCAGGCTCACGAGAGGTTTCCTGGACGCACACTTTGCATTTTCAGCCATACTGGTTTTTATCTCCACAGAAATTGCTCTCCCGAGAGACTTTACAAATTCCAGTTAATAATAACTTCTCCTTTGTCACCGGTGCGCCATTGTAGTGTGAGAGGTACACGGAAATACCTCCAGCTCTTAGCCAAATGCTTCCCTTTAATTGTGTCAAAGAATATACAGAAGAGGAGAACAAACCTGAAACCCAGATTGCCACTGAATATCCCGACTGTAATGAAGTTGTATTAGCTTTTACTTAATTTAAAAGGAAAAATACTTACATTTGCTGGAAAAGGCAGCCAGGAATAGTTTTCTGCATCACTGTATTCTGTGTATGGTCTGCAGCAGAGCTAAAATGTGCCGTTCCACTTGGATTGCTTCCTGGGTTTTATATATAGTGTGGCATACTCGGTACCACGTCACAGCATGGGACTGTGCTGACAGAATTTGTTTTCCTAGGCAACATCCCCGGAGCTGGTTTCACAAGAATTACTCGCCTGAATCATGGTAGCCATTAACTTTCATCTGTCTGGAAAAATTGATGCCCCGTGTGGAAGGGGAGTCCCAGACACTTCCTCAAATACATGCCTGGAGATGGAGCAGATTACAGGGTGTAATACTGAGCTCGTCTGGGTGCTGCATGAGCTAACATGGGTTATCCATGAGCAAAAAATCTATTCTGAGCAAAGAAAAGGTGTCCCCTGGCATGAGACACAGCACTGTATCTGGCTGGACTGGGCTGTCCTCAGTGAGTGTTTGTGTTGGTGTAGCCTGGGATACCCAGGTTTGGTGCTGATTACGTTTGCACTAACTCTGTTGCTCTCCAGGTATGACGCTGGTGGAGCTCATCCGTGTTTCAGTCTCTTCGAGAGGTCTCAGTACGATGGGAGAGCACAGGATCCCACAGACATTGTGGAGCATAGCAAGCTGGTAAGTTCACAGCAACAAGAACACGTTCCACAGCTCCCAGCTTTACCGCAGATGCAGATCTTGTGCTTAGAGTCAGTACATGAACACAGGGAATGAAAGGCAGTGACGCTGCATTGGCTTCTGATCAACGGGGAGGCTTTGCTGCCAGTCCAACCCCAGCTCTGCCAGCAGCACTCCCTTCCCTTCAGCAGTTCTCTAAGTCATGGAAAGCTGTAGGAAAATGAAGCAGCTGGAAATGCAGATGCTGCAAAGCACTATCACTGCAGCTGCAGCCACTCCGGGAAGGCAGCCCTGTGCTCTCCTGCCTGCTCAGCAAGCAGCAGCACACTGGGTTTGCACAGGAGCACTGGTGAGAGGACATCTGCCAAAGCCAAAGTCCCTAAGAAAAGGAATTTGTCTTGTTGGTGGTTAAGATAATTTGTGCTTTGATGTAAGCGTATAAATATTTATTCTTTCATTGTATCTGAATGAGTTAGCCTTTGCTAGAGGCCCTCCATAGCAGTTTTCTTTTATCACAACTACCGTTTCTAGTACATTTACTGTTTTCCCTTGCTGACGTGACACAACAGAGCTGTCAGAGCAGAAATTCTGCAAACAGGCTACACGCTTTCTCAGCACCTTGACATTTCGCAATAGCTTGAGGGAAGATAAGGCAAAGCCTCTGTCCCCAGGGCACCACCCATTTCGTCAGAGCACACCGACTCTGTGAGCACAAGGAGTAAAGGACAGGGAAGCAGGAGGGGTGGGATGGGGTGCTCCATACCCAGGCTGTGCCCCGCTTCACCTCGCAGGGCTGACAGATACGGGCAGAGCCAGGACCAGCCATGGGAAAGGCGGCTTGAATCCGTTCCCCTCAGTTAATCTCTACCTGCATGAGCAATCGCTCCCGATGACTGACGGCTTTCAGCGCTCCTCTTTGAACCCACTGGTTAACGCAAGCAGAACAAACACAACAACCCCAGTTGATTTCTGCAGTGGCAGGATATGGTTTCCAGTATTTTTCCATACCCTGTTTATTTTATGCTACACCTTTGTTTGATGGCTTTGGCCAGCTCCCTACACTGATTAGCTGTGCTCTTTGCAGCTGAGGGCTCTAACTCAGTAACTGAAATACAATTGCAAGCCATAAGACTTCAGCAATAGATAAAATATTTTCCATTTTCTTATGTTCAAAGCGCTCTGCTTTTGACCCCAGAGGGTTTCCTGCACTTTTCCCTTGCCATCTCATCCATGTCCCCTCTCACCTCTTTGTAGTGCACCCCAAAACACTGCCAAGGGGCACCTCGAGTACTGACCATTATTCCTACAGCCTCTCTCTCTTGCTGGTACTGAAACCAGTCCTATTCCTATTTCTTTTCCCTTATATTGTGCCAAGGAAAACCTTGTTGAGGAAATCCAGATGAATTACACCATCTGAATATCTTGCACTTTGGGGAGGGTTTTTTAACAATCCCTGAAGATTTGGAGGAAATTATAGGAAGACAGTTTTCTTTGTAAGTAACTCCACACCTTGGTCCTACAGAACAAGTCCTAATTGTTATTCATTGGTGGTTAATCTTTTACCTGATTCTAAAGCCGCACCAGTTGCTGGATTCCCTGGACCATCCAAATTTAAAGCTTTGATATGTACAGCCTTTGCTGCTCTTCCCATTTTTACCTTTGGTTTGGTTTTTGGTTTTGGTTTTGGTTTTTTTCTTGGGTTGCCTGAGAACCCAGAACAGTTACTGCCTGATCTTCAACCAAGATTTCCTGTCTCTCCTCTCATTAAATGGATGGAGGATCTCTGGTCTCAGCTTCTGACTTTATATCATTTCCCATCTTGATTATTCTCAGATATTACACATTTCTCGAGCACTCTTTATGATTACTCGCTGAAGTTCTCCAGAATTCCCTGTTGTTTCCTTCTCTCCCTGGCCCTGCAGAGTTCAAGCAATTCATTCTTAAATTGCAAACCAGTCACACGACTGTCTCTTCTGACTAGAAAATGGAGAAGTCGAAGTCAGGCGGCATTTGCAAGTATGAGGAAGGGTTGGGTGGCACAGGGAAGAGTCTCAAGAACAGGAGTGTCACGTAGCAGCTCCTATGGGCACTGAGCCACAGCCAGGATGGCAGCAAGCCAACAGGAGGGTTCTCGAAAGCTGCTGAGCTGACCTTTGTGCCCCTTCTGATGGAAAACCAGCAGAGCCTGCATGCTGGAGAAGCAGGAATTGAAGAGTTTCAGCCCCATCCCTGCTGTTTCAAGGCTTGTAGCAGCAGAAAGGTTAACAAACCCTCCGAGGGAGGGATGGACTTTCCAAAGCATCCTCAAATCTAGTGCGGCTGCCCCTTGGACATAACCAGCATCCCTAGGCAGGATGCAAGGTGAGGAGATCGCACCTTGGCTGGCAGAGGACAGTGGTTATCTCCCTGGCCGCTCATGGACAGAAACCTTCCAAGATATTCATTACAGAGCAGATGTTTCATGTTGGCCCTTTGGTAGAACATGACGGGGCAGGTAGGGAGATGTGTGACCTGGGTATGTTCTGCTGTTCTCTCAAGAGCACAAGTTTGCACTTTCCCAAACTGCTCATCAGCAAAGACAATAATTAGCTCATTTGTTTTGTTGCTGTTCTCTATTTTCACTTTAGAAAAGGAAATTCACTTTCAATGAGGGCAAATGCTGGGTTAAAACATTACTAATGTAATGTTTATTCCTTGTGGACAAGAAGTCCAGTAATAAGACATACTTGCAAGTGGATTCCAGGATTTCATCGGTCCCTTTTGCATAGCTGACAGAAAAGATTTTCTTACAGGGAAAGAGTGGAGAGGCTGACAAGAAAATCCTTTTTGTCTTAGGTATTGAATGTATCAAGATTACGGATAAATTGCATAAAGAAGATGTGGTGTTTCATAAAATCAGCTGCAGAATAACTAGGCACAAAAAGTTAATGCAAATTTCACTTGGTTTTGGCTTCCTCCTTCACTAACTCCCATTTCCAATCGGGAAATAACAGCGGTAACAGCACTTTGGGAAATGCAAAACTTACTGAGGAGGAAATTCCCCATAGCTGCCCATAGCTGAAGTTTTGGGAACCTCTTGAATGAGTTTGCAAGTTCTCAGCTGACAACTCCTCTACCGAGCAACACTGGAAATCCTGAAGCCAGCCCACTTAACCCCTTCTGAGCACTTGCTCTGCAGAGCTACAACCCTGCCTGCACAAGTCCCTCCTTAGCAGGGACTCGCTTGTTTCTGTCTGCACTGTGCAATGAACAAGCCTTCCTGCCTTCTGATTTTTGTCCATAACGTGGTTTTACACACAGGCTGTCATTCTTGGTCAGGGCTCACAGCAGCTACAGCTCTCTCCATGGCTACCATGGTCAGGTCAGTCTGTTTTCAATTAGAGGTCTGGGGAAGTGTTTTGCTTTGAGTCACAGCACTCTTGCGCTGGCATCACTCAGCTCATCTCCAAGAATGAAGGTGGTGGGAATTTCCCTGGCACCTACAGACTTCCCTGGCATCGGCTCCACAGCTTTCTGCTGAACTCCATCTTCCACATTGAGCGCACACTCGCTATACCCCTGACCAAACGGCCTCCATCCTGGTGCTGTGGATCACGCAGAAGCAAACTATGTGCATACAGTGCTTTCTTTTCAGTGCCAGAAATTAAATGTGGTCTTGTCTCTGCCCTTGGATGAGCATTAGAGGCAATTTTGATATCTCCTCCAAACGCGGTGCCTCAATGTGTCCTCACGATATATTCTGCCCTCTTGCATTATTCACTTTCCAAGGCATAATATTGTTACTTAGCTAATTGAATCCCCAAATTAAACATATTGCAGTTTAAAAGATCTTACAACATCCCATCAATGCAGAAGGCTTTTTTCACTGCAATTATTTGTTTAGTATTTTGCTTTGATTGGAGTTTAGTGTCTCCATCTAATGACCTTTCCTCCCCTTCCTTGATGCACGGTCAAGAACCAATTCCTACTACAAATGGCATGTTTGCTTATTAAGTGTCCCCTTGCTACTTGCCTCCATTTGTCTAAATTATCATTTACTCATATCCTGTGTCCTCCCTTTTTTTATTACTTTATTGGTGGTTTTTTTTACCTGACATGTATGTAAAAGTTTATAGCCTTACTCACGGAGCCAAATATTGCATTCATAAACAGGGGCAATTGTTTTTGACTTCTTTAGCGTGAACAAGATGTATAGGACATTCAGTAAGAATATATGGTGAACTTTCACCAGGTTTTTCTATGAAAACAAAAGCCAAAACAGTAATTATCAACAAGAAGTTATCCTGAACGCTTTGCATGGTTAAGGGAGTCTGTATTTCAATCTCACCCTTGATACAGGAACACAAGATTTTACTATTTCCTGCATTTTATGAATCATCTGACCGAAAATCTTTCAAGATTTTTGTTTGCCTTCAAGTTCCTCACACCTGAGAACAAACAAATCAGCTGTGTATAGCACATGAGAAAGCAGAAACCCACATCCTCTGGCCTGCCACATAAGAGAAGCGTGAGCTCATTTCAGTGATATATACAGGAACTGTGTTGTCAAATTTGGAGCTGCATCCTGAGCACATCCTACTTTTATTATTATACCTAACAGCAAACCAAAGCATAAGAACAGGGCTGAGATGCCTCTTGGAAACATAAATACCTGCAAGAGTTGCTCTGC